AGGGAGTAGTAGGCAAATTTGGGGTGCCAGGGGTAAATGAAAATGGGGAGCCTTTAATTGAGCAATGTGTAGAAAGTGGTTTGGTAATAAGTAATACATATTTTATGAAGAAGAGGATAAATAAATAGTATACAAGGTATGATATAGCACATAATGAAAGTAGTTTGTTAGATTATGCATTGGAGGATAAAAGGTTGATGAGTAGGCTCTAGGATGTACACGTTTGTAGAGGGGCAACTGATATATCGGATCATTATTTAGTTGTATCGACAGAGTAAGAGGTACATGGGAAAAGAGGAAAATGGCAACAACAAGTAAGAGAGAGGTGAAAGTGTATAAACTAAGGGAGGAGGAAGTTCAGGTGAGATATAAGCAACTATTGGCAGAAAGGTGGGCTGGTGCAAGTATGAGTAGTGAAGGGGGGGGGGGGGGTTGAAGAGGGTTGGAATAGTTTTAAAAATTTAGTATTAGAATGTGTGGCAGAAGTTTGTGGTTATAGGAGAGTGGGTTCAGGAGGAATGAGGAGTGATTGGTGGAATGATGAAGTAAAGGGTGTGATAAAAGAGAAAAAGTTAGCTTATGAGAGGTTTTTACAAAGCAGAAGTGTTATAAGAAGAGTAGAGTAAATGGAGAGTAAAAGAAAGGTGAAGAGAGTGGTGAGAGAGTGCAAAAGGAGAGCAGATGATAGAGTGGGAGATGCACTGTCAAGAAATTTTAAAGAAAAAATAAAAATTTTTGGAGTTAAACAAGTTAAGAAAGGCTAGAGAACAAATAGATTTATCAGTTAAAAACAGAGTAGGGGAGTTAGTAGATGGGGAGATGGATGTTTTGGGGAGATGGCGAGAATATTTTGAGGAACTTTTAAATATCGACGAAGAAAGGGAGACGGTAATATCATGCACTGGCCAGGGAGGTATACCAACTTTTAGGAGTGAAGAAGAGCAGGATGTGAGTGTGGGGGAGGTGTGTGAGGCATTACATAGAATGAAAGGGGGTAAAGCAGCTGGAACTGACGAGACCATAACAGAAATGTTAAAAGCAGGAGGGCGGGGGACAGTGTTGGAGTGGTTGATATTTTTGTTTAATAAATATATAAATGTATGAAAATAAGAAAAAATTTTGGAGTGAGTTAAACAAGTTAAGAAAGCCTAGGGAAAATATGGATTTGTCAGTTAAAAACAGAGTAGGGGAGTTAGTAGATGGGGAGATGGAGGTATTGGGTAGATGGCGAGAATATTTTGAGGAACTTTTAAATGTTAAGGAAGAAACAGAGGCAGTAATTTCATGCACTGGTCAGGGAGGTATACCATCTTTTAGGAGTGAAGAAGAGCAGAATGTAAGTGTGGGGGAGGTACGTGAGGCATTACGTAAAATGAAAGGGGGTAAAGCAGCTGGAACTGATGGGATCATGACAGAAATGTTAAAAGCAGGGGGAGATTTAGTGTTGGAGTGGTTGGTACTTTTGTTTAATAAATGTATGAAAGGGGGGAAGGTACCTAGGGATTGGCAGAGAGATGTATATGTCCTTTATATAAAGGGAAAGGGGACAAAAGAGACTGTAAAAATTATAGAGGAATAAGCTTACTGAGTATACCAGGAAAAGTGTACGGTAGGGTTATAATTGAAAGAATTAGAGGTAAGACAGAATGTAGGATTGCGGATGAGCAAGGAGGTTTCAGAGTGGGTAGGGGATGTGTAGATCAGGTGTTTACTTTGGGAAGCATATATGTGAACAGTTTTTAGATAAAGATAGGGAAGTTTTTATTGCATTTATGGATTTAGAAAAGGCATATGATAGAGTGGATAGAGGAGCAATGGGGCAGATGTTGCAAGTATATGGAACAGGTGGTAAGTTAATTAAATGCTGTAAAGAGTTTTATGAGGATAGTGAGGCTCAGGTTAGGGTGTGTAGAAGAGAGGGAGACTACTTCCCGGTCAAAGTAGGTCTTAGCAGGGATGTGTAATGTCACCATGGTTGTTTAATATATTTATAGTTTGGGGTTGAAAAAGAAGTAAATGCTAGGGTGTTCGGGAGAGGGGTGGGATTAAATTTTGGGGAATCAAATTCAAAATGGGAATTGACACAGTTACATTTTCCCTGATGATACTGTGCTTATGGGAGATTCTAAAGAAAAATTGAAAAGGGTTAGTGGATGAGTTTGGGAAGTGTGTAAAGGTAGAAAGTTGAAAGTGAACATAGAAAAGAGTAAGGTGATGAGGGTGTCAAATGATTTAGATAAAGAAAAATTGGATATCAAATTGGGGAGGAGGAGTATGGAAGAAGTGAATGTTTTCAGATACTTGGGAGTTGACGTGTCAGCGGATGGAAATTTTTGAAGGATGAGGTTAATCATAGAATTGATGAGGGAAAAAAGGTGAGTGGTGCATTGAGGTATATGTGGAGTCAAAAAAAGTTATCTATGGAGGCAAAGAAAGGGAATGTATGAAAGTATAGTAGTACCAACACTCTTATATGGGTGTGAAGCTTGGGGGGTAATGCAGCAGCGAGGAAGACGGTTGGAGGCAGTGGAGATGTCCTGTTTAAGGGCAATGTGTGGGGTAAATATTAATGCAGAAATATTCGGGTGTGGAAATTAGGAGAAGGGTGGAGTTAATAAAGTATTAGCAGAGGGCAGAAGAGGGGTTGTTGAGGTGGTTTGGTCATTTAGAGAGAATGGATCAAAGTAGAATGACATGGAAAGCATATAAATCTATAGGGGAAGGAAGGCGGGGTAGGGGTCCGTCCTCGAAAGGGGTTGGGGAGAGGGGGTAAAGGAGGTTTTGTGGGCAAGGGGCTTGGACTTCCCGTAAGCGTGCGTGAGCGTGTTAGATAGGGGTGAATGGAGACGAATGGTATTGGGACCTGACGATCTGTTGGAGTGTGAGCAGGGTAATATTTAGTAAGGGATTCAGGGAAACTGTTATTTTCATATAGTCAGACTTGAGTCCTGGAAATGGGGAAATACAATGCCTGCACTTTAAAGGAGGGGTTTGGGATATTGGCAGTTTGGAGGGATATGTTGTGTATCTTTATATGTGTATGCTTCTAGACTGTTGTATTCTGAGCACCTCTGCAAAAACAGTGATAATGTGCGAGTGTGGTGAAAGTGTTGAATGATGATGAAAGTATTTTCTTTTTGGGGATTTTCTTTCTTTTTTGGGTCACCCTGCCTCGGTGGGAGACGGCCGACTTGTTGAAAAAAAAAAAAAAAAAAAATGTATGAAAGAGGGGAAGGTACCTAGGGATTGGCAGAGAGCGTGTATAGTCCCTTTATATAAAGGGAAGGGGGACGAAAGAGATTGTAAAAATTATAGAGGAATAAGTTTACTGAGTATACCAGGAAAAGTGTACGGTAGGGTTATAATTTAAAGAATTAGAGGTAAGACAGAATGTAGAATTGTGGATGAGCAAGGAGGTTTTAAAGTGGGTAGGGGATGTGTAGATCAAGTGTTTACATTGAGGCATATATGTGAACAGTATTTAGATAAAGGTGAGGAAAGTTTTTATTGCATTTATGGATGTAGAAAAGGCATATGATAGAGTGGATAGGGGAGCAATGTGGCAGATGTTGCAAGTATATGGAATAAGTGGTAAGCAACTAAATGCTGTAAAGAGTTTTTATGAGGATAGTGAGGCTCAGGTTAGGGTGTGTAGAAGAGAGGGAGACTACTTCCCAGTAAAAGTAGGTCTTAGACAGGGATGTGTAATGTCACCATGGTTGTTTAATATATTTATAGATGGGATCTTAAAAGAAGTAAATGCTAGGGTGTTGGGAGAGGGGTGGGAATAAATTATGGGGAATCAAATACAAAATGGGAATTGACACAGTTGCTTTTTGCTGATGATACTGTGCTCATGGGAGATTCTAAGGAAAAATTGCAAAGGATAGTGGATGAGTTTGGGTGTATAAAAGTAGGAAGTTGAAAGTGAACATAGAAAAGAGTAAGGTGATGAGGGTATCAAATGATTTAGATAAAGAAAAATTGGATATCAAATTGGGGAGGAGGAGTATGGAAGAAGTGAATGTTTTCAGATACTTGGGAGTTGACGTGTCGGCGGATGGATTTATGAAGGATGAGGTTAATCATAGAATTGATGAGGGAAAAAAGGTGAATGGTGCGTTGAGGTATATGTGGAAACAAAAAATGTTATCTATGGAGGCAAAGAAGGGAATGTATGAAAGTATAGGAGTACCAACACTCTTACATGGGTGTGAAGCTTGGGTTGTGAATGCAGCAGCGAGGAGGCGGTTGGAGGCAGTGGAGATGTTCTGTCTAAGGGCAATGTGTGGTGTAAATATTATGCAGAAAATTAAGAGTGTGGAAAGTAGGAGAAGGTGTGGAGTTAATAAAAGTATTAGTCAGAGGGCTGAAGAGGGGTTGTTGAGGTGGTTTGGTCATTAAGAGAGAATGAATCAGAGTAGAATGACATGGAGAGCATATAAATCTGTAGGGGAAGGAAGGCGGGGAAGGGAGTCATCCTCGAAAAGGTTGGAGGGAGGGGGTAAAGGAGGTTTTGTGGGCGAGGGACTTGGACTTCCAGCAAGCGTGCGTGAGTGTGTTAGATAGGAGTGAATGGAGACGAATGGTATTTGGGACCTGATGATCTGTTGGAGTATGAGCAGGGTAATATTTAGTGAAGGGATTCAGGGAAACCAGTTATTTTTATATAGCTGGAATTGAGTCCTGGAAATGGGAAGTACAATGCCTGCACTCTAAAGGAGGGGTTCGGGATATTAGCAGTTTGGAGGGATATGTTGTGTATTTTGATAGGTATATGCTTTTAAGCTGTTATGTTCTGAGCACCTCTGCAAAAACAGTGATTATGTGTGAGGTGAAAGTGTTGAATGATGATGAGAGCATTTTCTTTTTGGTGATTTTCTTTCTTTTTTGGGTCATCCTGCCTCAGTGGGAGACAGCCGACTTGTTAAAAAAAAAAATTACACTACTATTAAGACTAAAAAATAAAAACTCAAACTACAGATATATGAAACATTTACCTGTGGTCAGAAATATGCAGTAGAAGAATTATAATTAACTCTGACACTTTCAGCAGAACTTGTGTATCCTTGTGGCTGCTCCTACTCTCCACCTGCTAGAAAAAAAAAATGCAAAATGTACAATTCTCATAACTTGACTTAAGAAATCGTAATGACACGATTGCAAATAAACCATACCCCCGGCCGGGATTGAACCCGCGGTCATAGAGTCTCAAAACTCCAGCCCGTCGCGTTAGCCACTAGACCAGCTAGCCACAATAAGATTCATCCAACTAGGTATATTTCTACACCATAGGAAAGTTAGCACAGGCACCTCTGTGACCACAAATGCAAGTTTTTACAGACGAATCTCCAGCTAGCGTGGCCGTGACGAACTCTAGCTCAAGTCCCTTCACTGCCGTCAACATGACTTAAGAAATCGTAATGACACGATTGCAAAATAAACCATACCCCCGGCCGGGATTGAACCCGCGGTCATAGAGTCTCAAAACTCCAGCCGTCGCGTTAGCCACTAGACCAGCTAGCCACAATAAGATTCATCCAACTAGGTATATTTCTACACCATAGGAAAGTTAGCACAGGCACCTCTGTGACCACAAATGCAAGTTTTTACAGACGAATCTCCAGCTAGCGTGGCCGTGACGAACTCTAGCTCAAGTCCCTTCACTGCCGTCAACATGACTTAAGAAATCGTAATGACACGATTGCAAATAAACCATACCCCCGGCCGGGATTGAACCCGCGGTCATAGAGTCTCAAAACTCCAGCCCGTCGCGTTAGCCACTAGACCAGCTAGCCACAATAAGATTCATCCAACTAGGTATATTTCTACACCATAGGAAAGTTAGCACAGGCACCTCTGTGACCACAAATGCAAGTTTTTACAGACGAATCTCCAGCTAGCGTGGCCGTGACGAACTCTAGCTCAAGTCCCTTCACTGCCGTCAACATGACTTAAGAAATCGTAATGACACGATTTCTCTTCTCTTTCTCCTATACATAAATGACCTACCAAATGTTTCGCAATTACTCAAACCCACACTTTTTGCAGATGACACTACATACGTCTTCACTTACCCAAGCCCAGTCACGCTAACCAATACTGTAAACACCGAATTACAGAAAATATCTACCTGGATGAGGACTAACAAACTTACACTAAACATTGACAAAACCTACTTCATTCAGTTTGGTAACAGAGCTACAGATGTACCTCTTAACATAACAATAAACGGATCACCCATCACAAAGCTAACAGAGGGAAAATTCCTAGGAATCCACCTCGATAATTTGACTCAAATTTCATACACATATACAACAAATTTCTAAGAAAATCTCCAAGACTGTAGGCATACTATCGAAATACGGTACTATGTTCCACAGTCAGCCCTCTTGGCCCTTTATCACCCCTTTATTTACCCCTATTACCTAAATTTGTGAAAGGGGCTCAACAAAATTTAAACCATCTAAACCACTAATTACCCAAAAAAAGGCGCAGTTAGAATGAAAAAAATTCTCACTACAGGCAGCACACTCCACCAATTTTCAAAAACTAAACCCTACTCACCAAAAAAAACACCATACTTATTATGCACCTTTTAACATACAAGAACATTAACTCTATTAAAGTTTTTCTCAAAGATCACTTACTCACTAAAAAACCAAAAAATACTAAATAACTAAACCTTATAAATTGTTATCCTATATGTTACTCACAATTAATCACCAAATGTTAAACCTGGGACCCAATCTAACTTTATTATTTTTTTTTAAATCACTACAAAACAGAATACTCCATTTAGAATGAACACATGCATGCAACCATATACCTGTTTGAAATACTTTTTTGTGCTTTATTGTCATCTGTTTACAATAATGTTTTATCACTGATTTATCATTGCTTAGTTAATCTTAATTTAAATTTTTAAGCCACCCCCGAATGCTATGCATTAAATGGTTTTGGCTGCTGCTCTTACCGTTTTTTTTGTACCTCTTTTTTAGTTTAAATTACTAAATAAATAAAAAAAATACAAAAGTCTATCATATATTTACATATTTACAATCATGGAATGGTTTTAGAACTGCGGGGCTTGTGGAACTCCTTGAAAAAAGGCACCATGCACAGGGGCACCTTACATTCCTCACACAAAAACGATGTCTTTGATCTTTGTTGCCATCTTTTGTTTGTGCACGAGATGATTTTCTGAGAAATTTCTTCTGTTTTAAAGGGAAGCTGTTTTATGAAATGATCCCCTTTCCCCTCCTCAAACCTTTGGGATACCCTGAGGAATTCGGGGACCTTGTTGTATAGCGGGTGTTGTTACCTGGTACTTTCTTATGAGTTGTTGACAACAAAAAACAAAATTCACCATACGGGGTTTGTTGCCAGTCTTTTTTGGTACTTTTAAATTGCTTTGGGCATTGAAATGTCCATGAAGGGAAGAAAATTTTCCCATGTACCATTTGTAACTTTTACAAACACAATCAACAAAAACCAAATCTCAGTCACCTTGTCAACCAAGCCATTTTTTTGTGTATAACAACCCACTGTCACGGGTCCCAAAAGTTATTATCACTCTTAACCTTTGCCACTGTCTTGCATTTCATACGGTGAAGGGTTGTCAACAAGTGACATCTAATTTGTCATGCCCCATAATGCTTGATGTCATTGCATAAACACCTCACATCTCACCCGAGCACCTGCGTTGAGTGGGCATTTTTTTTTACGATTAGAAACACTGTGCCACACACTCTTCTTGTTCATTTTCGCAAGAAATCACTGAGAAAGGGGCCTTGTGTACCAGTTTTCGGTATATAATGTTGCCCCTTACCAGAAAAGGTGCCTCATGTTTCTCACTACGTCCCCTGAGATCAATATCCAACCCAGGCCACTGTCACAATCCAAGTACAAACAGTTTTTCCCAAAGCTTTTCCCTCTTGCTCGGGATATACTGCTTGAAGACAGTCACCTTTGAAAAAAATCAAAGACTCGTCAATTAAAAGATTCTTGATGGAAAAATATATGCTGAATTTTTGTTTGGATACTAAAAATATTTCTAATTTGTATAACCTGCACTTCTGTGGCCTGGTTTTTGCAAAGAAGTCCAACATACGTAACGAAAGAAAAACCCTATTCACTGGGATGTTTTTCCTGAAGACCGGGGTAAAAAATTACCGATCTGTGGCCAGTATGATTTTATATTAGCTTATAGACATACAAAAACATTATTTTTGAAAAAAAGCAACTAGGGCTGATTGATGATTTAAGGCCAGCAAAGGTTGGTTTAGGATTTAAGAATCGTATGGCACACAGGGATAAGGCATGGTGAGGCCCCAGTTCGGCCCAAAAAGCCTGAAAAATATGTGCAGGAAATTTAAAGGAGTACATAGCAGTGAAGAATTAAAAACCTAAAACAAGTGTTTAATTTGACAAAAACAGGCCTTTTTTGGGAGAAAAGCCGCAGGACCTACTTTACTCAGGAAAAAAGGGCCCCCCAGGACAAAAGCCTATAAAAGACAGGCTATTGTTGATGTGTGCTAAAGCGGGGGTGAGGGAAAAGTAAAGCCTTTATTGGTGTACCCTCTGAAACTCCCGAGTGTTTAGGAAAAAAAAATCCCTCAGGCAATTTTTTGTGTGATGTGCAGGGGAAACGTAAGGCATGGGGCACTAGGGACTTTTTCTATGACTTTACACCCTGCATTTGCCCCCCCTGTGAAAAAAAATTTCCCCTGGGAAAAAAAAGGACCTTTAAATCCTCCTGGGATTAACAATGTTCCTGGTCATCCTTCGACGTGGGAGAGCGACTTTCTGAGGCATGAGCTCATTAAGGGGCAAGTTTTTTCCCCCTAATACTTTCCCCTCTCCTCCCCCCCCATGGACCACAGGGCACTGCAAAATTCAAAAAACTCTACACAAAAAATGTTTGAAAGGGGCTTTTTAGTATCAAAAACATTATTGACTCTAAAAAGTTTTGGAAGGTCACTTTAAAATCCTCAAATTTTGTAAAAACCCTTTTAGGTAAGGCTTGGGAGGGAGTGACTAAGAGGACCCTTTAACTTGCTTGGAAAAAAAATGTGGCCAGAATGTGTAAACAAAAGGGGTTTTGAAGGGTTTGAGGCTAACCCTGGGAATCCTATGCCCTTGAGGAAACCATTGTGGCATTGGGGGGAAATCCTTGGGGGTTTTGGAGGGTTTGTGGGGGGGTTGGAAGAGTTGGTTGAGGAGGACAATGCAAACTAACCACGATGACTCCCAGATCATCTTCAAAACCCAAAAGGCCAAAACCGAGGGAAAATCTCCGGAGGAGGGTTAAGGGATAGATAAGGAAAAGTGTGCAATGTGGCTTAAAATCAAACATTTTTGATGAAATCACCCTCCGCAGCTATTGCATCCCCTGGGAACCTGTACAATGACAAATTGTGAACCACTTTAGGAACCCATAAACAACGAAGGTAGAGGCCTCTATGGACAATAGTTGTGCGACAGAAGTCCAGTGACTCTCAAGCTGGTCCTATGGGATTAAAAAAAGAAAGGACTTAACCCCGAAAAGGATTGCTACCTTCAAGTCCTAATGGGAAAGGGGGGTTTCCCATTCTAAAAAAAATAAGTTTACACCTTTCCCCCCTCCCTCCCATCAATCGCACCGTCTTTTATTAAAGGTTGTGTCATGTATTTACTGTTAGAGATACTACAAACGTGATGTCTTTACATTTTTTGTGATTAAAATTAAATTTTTGGGGAAAAAAAAATTTTTTTTTTAACTTTTGGGTTCTTGCATGGGTTAATTTTTATTTCCTTTGTTTTTTTGGGGAAAAATTTATTTGCCCTTTTGATAATTTTTGGGTTTTCGATGAGCTCTCGGAAAAAGGATTAATATCGCAAACCGGGGATCCATGTATACCCATAACTGTACACAAGCCCTTTTTCAGTGATTTTTTGGAGTGAAAAAGGACAGATGTGTTGGCACAGTGTTTTAATCGTAAAAAAGTCCAGGTTCAACGCATTGCCGGTGATGAGGGGCGGTTTTCGCCCCTGCTAGGCTTTTCGGTGGCACAAATGCGGATGTCCAATTGTTGACAACCTTCACGTAACGAAATGCAAGAAGTGCAAAGTTTATAGAAGAATAATGACATATTCGAAAACCCGCGACAGTGATTGATTAATACAAAACATGCCTTGGTTGACAAAAGTGACATTAGATTGGCTTTTTGTTTTTGTCGTTAGAGTTTTAAAGGGGACATGAAACTTTTCTTCCACTCATGGACATTTCAATGCTAAAACATAAACATTACCCAAATAAAGACGGAACAGACATCGTAGATAAATTTTTGTTTTTCGTTGTCGACAACTCATAATGAAAAACCAGGTACAAAACCTTATACAAAACCTCCCCGAATCCCAGGATTACCCAAGTGTTTGGGAGGGAAGGTGATCACTTCATAATACAGCTTCCCCAAATAAGAAAAATTTGCTCGAAAATACTTGTCTGTAAAAACAAAATGGGGGCAACAAAGACGCAAGACACTCGGTTTTATGGCAAGGGAATGTAAGGGACCTCTGTGCATGGTGCCTTTTTTTCAAGGTTTCACAAGCTCAAGCAGTTCTAAAAACAAGTCCAGTGATTGAAATATGTAAATATATGATAGAATTATGACAGAACATTTACTAAAAAAAAGAAGAAAAAAACTTATAAAACTGGGGTTTTTAAAATTTGCGTGGGTGTATGCGGTACAAGAAACAATGATTTCTGATGTTAGAAAGAAAAGAATTTTGGGTGTCCGGCCCCCCAAGCAAAAAAAAAGCTGAAGGGGGTAGGGGATTTTTTTTGGGGGGAAATAAATGGAATTTTAAAACTGGGGTATCTGAGAAGTTAGAGCTAAGGAAGGGGTAGCAATAATGTTGAAAAACCCGTTATGGAAGGAAAAAGAGAATATGAATGTGTAAATTAAAGGGAAATTTATGTGGATTAAAGTAAAGGTTGGATGCGAAAAATGGGTCATAATAAGCGTGTATGCACCTGAAGAAGAGAGGAATGTAGAGAGGGAGAGATTTTGGGAGATGTTAATTGAATGTATAGGAACATTTGAACCAAGTGAGAGAGTAAATGTGGTAGGGGACCTGAATGCTAAAGTAGGAGAAACTTTTAGAGAGGGTGTGGTAGGTAAGTTTGGGGTGCCAGGTGTAAATGATAATGGGAGCCCTTTGATTGAACTTTGTATAGAAAGGGGTTTAGTTATAGGACAAGTAATAAATATTTTAAGAAAAAGAGGATAAATAAGTATACAAGATATGATGTAGGGCAAAATGACAGTAGTTTGTTGGATTATGTATTGGTATAAAAAAGACTGTTGAGTAGACTTCAGGATGTATATGTTTATAGAGGGGCAACGATACATCAGACCCACTTTTTATTTGTAGCTACACTGAGAGTAAAAGGTAGATGGGATACAAGGAGAATAGAAGCATCAGGGAAGAGAGAGGTGAAGGTTTATAAACTAAAAGGGGAGGCAGTTGGGTTAAGTTTTAAACAGCTATTGGAGGATAGATGGGGTAATGAGAGCATAGGGAATGGGGTCGAAGAGGTATGGGGTAGGTTTAAAAATGTAGTGTTAGAGTGTTCAGCAGAAGTTTGTGGTTACAGGAAAGTGGGTGCGGGAGGGAAAAGGAGCATTGGTGGAATGATGATGTAAAGAGAGTAGTAAGGGAGAAAAAGTTAGCATATGAAAGTTTTTACAAAGTAGAAGTGATGCAAGGGGGGAAGAGTATATGGAGAAAAAGAGAGAGGTTAAGAGAGTGGTGAAGCAATGTAAAAAGAGAGCAATGAAGAGTGGGTGAGATGTTATCAACAAATTTTGTTGAAAATAAGAAAAAGTTTTGGAGAGAGATTAACAAGTTAAGAAAGCCTGGAGAACAAATGGATTTGTCGGTTAAAAATAGGAGAGTTATTAACCCTTTGACTGTCGCAGGCCCCTTTCTGAAACTGTCCCTTCTACGTCGATAAGTTTTTGAAAAAAAAAAAAAAAAAAATTCTTATGAAATGATAGAAAATCTTTCCCGATGGTAATGGCACCCAAAAATTTTGAAATTTGGTCGAAAACTCACGGAATTATGCTCCCGCAAAGTTAGTGGTCTCGGCGACATATGCGTATCGGCGATTTCGCCGACTTTGAGCCCCGTTTTTCAAACCAATTCCATTGTTCCAGTTGACCAAACTCATAGCTATTTCTTTTTGAACTCCATTTTTTTTCTATCAGCTGAGTACAAGAAACCGCCCATTTACCAATTTGAACTACCCAATATAGTGGTCAGAAATTTGGGAATTTGGCCAATTTCACGCAAACTAAAAAAGAAAGCCAATTTCAAAATAGGGTCCAGAATAAACAAGGTAACATTTTTGGGCACAAAAAAAAACATATCCTCTGTTAAATTATCACACTCTAGGCCCCCTTTTTAATTTATTTTTGGGCCTTTCTTTTTTTGATTTTTATTCATAAAAAAAAAAAAATGCAAAATTTACTGTTAGGGCAGACTACTGCATTTTTGAAAAAAGGGGATAAATAATATCAGTGCACTAGGGAAGGGAAATTATTAGACTCCCCACTGACTGTTTTTGGACGTGGGGGTTGTGTTTTAAATTTACTCCTAAAACTTTTTGGTAAAAATCTAACTTTTCCACTACTTTGAGCTCAGTTTCAAGGTTGTTTTATCGCAAAGTAATAAAAATTTCATCTCTATTTCAGTAATATTTTTTTTCCATTTTATCACCTAAAAACCAGAAAACCGCAAATACAACGATAAATAACTATAAAAAAATTTTACACCTCAAATGGGCTTTTTAATCCAAAAAAACGACAGATTTTTTTTTTTTTTCCTAATTATGCACTATGGGGGTTTTTTTTTTTTTCCCCTGACCACAAAAACCCCTTTCCCCTCAAAATGTGGGCCTACCAGCTTTCTTTCCCGCTTGATTTGAAAGGGCCCCTAGAATTATTGAGTATATATACATGAGAAGCATGGCGGGGAAAACTATTTTTAAAAGGGGGAAAACAGTCAAAGGGGTTTTAAATGGAAAGTTAAGGGTATTGGGGAAAATGATGGAGGGGAAAAATTTTTGAGGAATTTTTTAAATGTTGAGAAGAGGGGGGAAACTTTTGGAAATTTTATGTATACGGCAAAGGG